GACCGCAATTCCAGCCTGCTCCGCAAAACCACGAGCCAGGCACGGATCCGAATATTCGAGCATATATCTTATATCGTCCAGGTCACTTCAGTGCTCTTACCTTTGCAGATAATTCATGGACCCTATGGGACAATGGCAGTAGGGTGCACACAGTGGGAAACATTAACTCTTTCTATCACCAAATGCTGGAGGGTCACTCTGTCTGGCTCATCCATCGGGAACGGTATGTCAATGAGCATTTGCAAGCACTGCACCCCTCGGAGAGCAATCCTGCTGATTCTACCACAAACAGTGAAAGGACCTCTCCACAGGACGATGGCTGTGCCCTCCCGTTGTGTCGTCGCACAGGTACAGTTCGGTTGGCATGTACACGTCATAGCCTCTGCTCCGAACACTATGAAGGGATGGTCGATGCTAGCCTCTCACACGAAAATCGTGATCCCCAGTCCTGTGCTCATCCCCCCCACCCCCTGATTACTTGCCCAGCATGCCGTTGTGGCCTTGATCTGCCATGCTTAAATAACTGTGCACGTCAGCCTTCCATACTAATGACATGTCAACAACATGCTATGTGTCGTCAATGCTTCCAGGAAGCTGTCATAGAAAGTATGTGTCTTTACTGCGTGGACTATCCCCAGTGCCATCACCCTCCACATCCTCTCCTAGCATGTCCCACATGCGGAATTGGTCATACACCTACGACAACCGCTGACGGATCTCCCTTTTTCTTGCTAGACGAACGACGAACACAACAGTCCGAGGAGGAAAATAGACTCCTATATGAACCACCGACAGAGCGATGTGCTCATAGTTTATCACCACCAAGGCGAGCTGTTGCGGATCATGTCCTGCAGCAGCTGAATGCCCTTGCGTTGGACCGATCCTCCCTGTCGTCGTTTGGCCATAGAGAAGGAATACATACCGAGGAAGCCCAAGAAAGAGGCTCCATGCCGTTTTGTGATGACCCGCCGGAGATTCAACTAGCATGTGGTTCACATGCCTTGTGCTGTGAGGATTATGAAGGTATAGTCCATGCGAGTTTTTGCTTCCATACGTACGATGACAGCCAGTACTGTACTCATGTACGACACCTCGACATGTCATGTCCAACTTGTAGACAGGGGCTGGAACGACAATCCCTACACTTATAGAAATTGCTATTTGGCGCGCAACATTTGGCCAATCCGGGCCGCTCGCGGCCTACTGGCCTACGGCCCGGATTTTCGCGTGATCTTAAGACTTTAAGACTTTAAGACTAAGATCGCGCGGCGATCCAGACCGTCCGCTATGCCGGACGGCCTGGATCGATCTTAAACTCTTAAGATCGCGTGGAAATCCGGGCCGTCGGCCCGGATCGACACGCCCGTTGAGAAGAGGGTCGTTGCGGGGCGGCGCCATGGCCCTGTTCGCGTCGAACGGCCCGTTGGGTCGAGGGCTGTTCGACTTCGCGGCCTCCGCCCACCTCCGCCCACCTCCGCTCGTTGTCTCCTCCTGCCATCTCCTCCCGCCGTCTCTGCTTTCTTTCCCACCCGCCTCCACTCACCTCCTTCGCTTACCTCCTCCGCCCCCATCTCCGATTGCCCTCTGCCCACCTCCGCCCACCTCCGCCCACCTCCTCCCACCTCCGCTCACCTCCTCCTGCCTCCGCCCACCTCCGCTCACACCTCCGCGCACCTTTGCTCGCCTCCAGTCACCTCCGCCTCTGTCTCCTCCCGCCATCTCCTCCTTCCGTCTCCACTTTCTTTACTACCCGCACATCATTCTCTGTCCGCACATCCGCCATCCCGCTGTTCATCCCGTCGCCCTCCTCACCTACGGCCTGCCTAACGTAGCTCTCTCTCTCTCTCTCTCTCTCTCTCTCTCTCTCTCTCTCTCTCTCTCTCTCTCTCTCTCTCTCTCTCTCTCTCTCTCTCTCTCTCTC